GGGGTAAAAGAAAGACAGCCTCGGCAAATGCTTCTGAGTACCTACGCACATAATGTCCCCAGCTGGGCCTATGTGGCAACTGCTCTCACGACCCAGTGAATTCTTCCCAGGGAAGCAGAGCCAAACGGAGGACTGAGGACCTCAAAGAAGGGAGCTCTCATTCTGGCTCCTGGAACAGAGCTGCTGTGCCTGGAGGGGTCTGCACCACCTGGGATTCAGGAAGAGCAGCACGAGCCCTCGTCAGAAGGTGGAGGGCAGGACGAGCCCCTGCAGCGTGTTAGCAGGAAGGGGCTGCCCGCCCGTAGCCAGCTGCAGGAGACACCAGGCCTGCAGCATTTCACCTCCAGCTGGGACACCAGTGCTGCTGTGTCGCACTGTTGTTAAGTGAGTGCAGGCTGGTGCTTCCTGTCTTGAGTAATTTTTCAATGAGGCTGGAAGAATTAATGGGTAAATTTCCTCTCTATCCCAGCCAGGGCTTCCAGGAGGCAGGCCCTCAGCTCCACTGTTACAATCTGTTGTTATTCCTATTAAATCACTAGCATGGACACAAATTCAATTTGATACTTTATTACATACTCTCTTGTACTTGTCTCTGATTAATCTAAGTCCTGAATCCCCCCACAAAATTACAAGCCTCTTGGGGAACATGCTGTATGCTGCTTTGCCACCTATGCTCCCTTCCACATCCTGTATGGACACAGAAAACATTAGGTACACAAGAAATATGTGGGAATGGGTAAAGCGTCTTTTTATATCCATATTATGTAATACTGCACAGCAGTTAAAAAGAACGAGGTGGAGCTACAAGTTCTGACATGGAAAGATTTCCAATTCACATTACTGTGTCAAAAAAGCATAATCAGGCATAGTATGAAACCCTTTACACAGAAAGGACTAGTAGAAGAAACAAGGCCTTGGTCCAAATATGTTTATTTCCTTTCTTATATATCCCCCCAGTCACAGACATTGTTATAACTAGTGTAGAACTCAGTAACTTCCTGTATTTTCCTTTTCAGAAGGAATTGTTGATAATGTTAACTAAATAATACGTGGAAGGCAGTTAGCACAGACTTGCCATGATAATAGTCACACTCATAGAGCACTTATATGGGGCAGGCATTGCTCTTGGTGCTTTACATCAATGAATTCATTTCACCCTCATAATAGTCCTGTAAGCAACTGAGGCACAGAGAGGTTAGGTAATTTGCCTTTGGTTAGACAGCACAGCAAGAAAATTGAAGACCCAGGATTCAAGCCCAAGCAGTCTAGCTCCAGAGCCTGTTTTCTTAACCACTGTGCTGAAGGTGTTGAAAACTGTGCCCTTTCCCACCCCTTCTCTTCCTTCCCTCAGTGATGGCACTCAGAACGTGGTGTGACAATTAACTGAAAAGAAAAAAGAATCCTGGGTCCCACCCTAACCTATGGCTTTATCTGTGGATTTGAAGGTTTGAGGCATACCTATAAGGAGCTACTGATGCCTTCTGGAAACTATGTGTGGGTTGCTGCTGAGAGATCATGACCATTTGCCATGATTGTGTGTAGTCATGGGATATACATAGATTCTCCGGCAAGCGCCTCCTGAGGACGATTTTAGTCCCAGCTGTGGATCCTATTAAGTAGAACCTCGACTTAGCAGACGGGGCTGATGGTTAGGGGTGTAATGGCCCCCACCTGACGGAAGGAAGGGTAGGCCTGATAACTGTTTGAGGATGGTTGGTAGGCGAAGGCTCTTCCCGCCTCCAAGCCCCGAGGCATGACAACCAATGCTACCTCAAAGTGAATCGGAAGGCTCTGCCCCAGGCCCAGGCCCCCAGTAGCCTGTTGGGGACTGCACTGTGTTTCGTGCTGTTTCAGGTTAAACCAGCACGCCTCAAGTTTGCCAGACCTAGCACCCCAACAACACGTGCCCCCAGCTCACACATGGAATGTTTGCTGTGTGGCAGCGGGTGCACTTGGAACCGGCACGGATGACCTCATAAAGCAGGGAAGCTGAGCAGTTCCTCAGATGATTAACACGTTGTTGAGATGGAGGAGGTGAGCGTCATTTAATGAAATATCTGGACGCTGCAGAATCAGGAGTTTCCACATTGGGGGCAGCTTAGGAACCATCTTATCCGAAGTCCGTATTTTACAAATGTGGAAACTGAAGCTTTAAAAAAGGTTAACTGTAAGGGCTTTCCACCTGATAACGTGTAGTTTTTTAAAATACAGTATACCTGGAGCCATGGCGCTGTGGGCTGCTCAGACCTTCCCCTCCCTGGCTCCAGGGCCTTCAACTACCGTCATCAGTTCATCTCAGGTGCCTGGTAACTTGTTCCTCCTCCCCTTTTAACCGTATTTAAAATTTTTCATTGTTCTGTTCATATTGTGTTCACTCACATGTAGAAGGGGAATCATTCCCACCCCACCCCTCTGTGGCTCTATTACCGCAGACATCTCCCACCTTCAGTACCAGGTGAATGGAGGGCTGTAGGTTGGAGATGGGGTAAGAAGTGACCTTCATAAATTGTCTGCATCCCCTTTGTCGAGGGATCTTAAGGCATGGGTCCTCCAGGTGGTTTTCAGGCTTTTCTCTTATGTAGTTATGTTTACAAGGTGGAATTACTTGGCGATTGGCCTGTACTATTTTTATAATAAATAATAAAAGCCAGCCATGGCCTTACTGATGTCTCATCAAAACAAAAACCCTGTCTTCCACGTGTACAATGTGTCTGATTTTCAAAGCTGTCACTTACACTTTCTCACACAGTCCTCCCCTCTCACCGAGAAGAGGTTTTCCTGGGGGTGTGAGATGTGTCTACTCCGTGGGGACAAGCGGGAGAAGACCTGGGAGACTTGTCCTTCTCAAGCACTCTGCCCACTGGAGGGGGACTGCCCAGAAGCGCCCCATGCCTTACTTTCCCCTTCTCTGGGTTCATGATGTTTATGCTTGATCTGCAGATGAGTTCCCATTGGAGAGGCTTTGGACAAATGCGGTGCCTTGTTCGTTCTCTGCAGGGTCAAGAGGCGGGAAGGGGCATGAGGATGGGAGGCGGAATGTGCCCCAAGCCTGGGTGCTTCTCACAGGAAGCCAGGAAAGAATTCCAGATCACAAGCTTTGATTAGATCCCTGTGCTAAAGAAACAGGCTCTAGGGGAAATCTTCTCTAACAATTCACTAGAGCTGGGTTATTTCCTAGCCTGGCCCCCCAAATGTGACTCCGGAGCAGAATGGGGCTGACCACAACCATTCTTCAGCATGGTCCTGGCATGGCCTCACCCGGAGGGAGGGCAGGCAGGGGTAACGTGCACAGACAGCGAGGAGGTGAATCCCAGCGGAACCACTCCTTAACTGTGACATTCAGCAAATTAAGTTCTCTGAACTGCATGTTTTCTCTTTTGTAAATGGGGGTTAGTGATTGCCGCACTGTTGCCCTGAAAAATCAGGCAAAGAAATACGCAGAGGGCCTGCATGACGTAAAGTAAGTGCTCGGAAAGTGGTGTCTGGGGTCACTAACGGCCTAAGGGAAGCGCAGGGAAACTCAGCAGGAAGCCAAAGACTCGGGGCCGAGAAGGAACCGAAATAGCCCCGTAGGCCCCGCCCACGGTCAGCGCGTCCGCTCCGCGAGGCCCGGCGGGAAGAGGCCCCTCTGCCCTCGGGCCGGAGCCACGGGGTGGGGAGGGGGTGTTTTGCTTCAGAAAAGGGCGAGGGCTGGCCTCGGCCTTCTGCTGGGGAAGGAAGCAATACAGCCACGTAACAAAAGCTCAAGGCCAAACCCACCACCCGCCCAGCGCCAGACCTCGGCTTCCTCTCCGCGGGCTCAACCCAGTCAGCTGACCTCGCTTTCGCTGGGCCGGGCCCGCGGAGTGGTCCAACGGGTCTCCTCGCAGCCAATCGGCGGTGGCCGGGCTTCCTCTCAGCCAATCGGCGACGGCCAGGGCTCCTCGCAGCCAATTGGCGGCTGCCCGGCCTCCTTGCGGCCAATCAAAGGCGGCCCGGCTCCTCGCAGCCAATCGGCGGCGGCCGGCGCGCGGCCTCCTGGCCCTGCGCCGGCCGGTCTCTCGTGGCGCGTGGGGCGGGAAAGGTCGGAAGCAGTAGACGTCCTGTAGATTACGTGGTAACCTCCGTGTAAGGAGTGTTCTCGTTTGTAAAGAGTGTTCTCGTTTCCACGGGGCCCTTGCCAGCGGCTGCACTGGGCCGAGTCTGTTCTGGGGCCCTCAGAGCATCCGTTAGGGGCTGCCCCGGCCTGGGAAACAGCGCCTTCTCTTTGCTCCAGAAGCTGCCACTCGCGACCCCGGCTGGCCCCAGCTGACCGCCCCGTATCTTGCTCGCTGACTGGCTGTTTCGGCCGCTCAGCCCCGCAGCCCGGGCTGGGGGGTGGTCTTTGCAAGTACATTTCGGAAGAAATGCTTGCAGCGTCAGAGGTCCAGCCCACGCGGGCCCAGATGCTGCTGCACAGCCCAGAACCCGTGAACCCTTGCCTCTGCCCTGCTGTGTTCCTGGGACTGGACCTCCTGCCTTTCACTTAATTCTTACAGGAACCCTGTATGGGCATATCATTTTCGTCCTGCAAATGAGGAAACCAAGGTGCCCAGCGTTAACAGTTCTACAACTACTGACGGTCAGTTGGCAACGTAGCCAAAATTTCTTTTAAGTGACTGGGCTTCGTACCAGGACACCACGTAGAGTCCAGACTCAAATCCCCGTGGCTCCCTTGTCTGCCTGGGGGAGCAAACAGCAAGGCCAATCGATCTAGACCTGCTTAGTAGATCTTTGCTCCCTAGAGCAAGGTTTAAGCCCTTTCCAGCCCTTCTCACACTGTGGGAGCAGTCAGTCCACCGTTTAAATAGGAACCACACTTTGGGGGTGAATCCTGAGTTACCGGCTCTTAGATTTAAATAGCACTTTCCTTGACCCAGCAAGCCGGGGTCAGCTGCCTCTGAAGCACCTGTGCATCCTTTTCTTGATAGCCGGTTTCACACCACCTACTGCAATTACCTCTTTCCTTCTGTCTCCTGCAGATGGAGGGAGGCTACCTGAGTGCAGGAAATGAACACGTCTTGACTAACCTCAGCATTTAGCTGGGATGCGCCCAGGATGCCAGTGTTCCCCAGGAACTCCGTGTGAAAACCACTGAACTAGAGTTTGGAAGTTAAAAGTAAGTCAAGAGGGGAAACTGGAGACAGCTATGAAAGCTTGACCTTTAATAGTCATGACAGTAGTAATCAACGCGGCTGTCATTTATTGAGTGTTTATTAAGTAACAGGCATTTTCATAAGTGCTTTAGGGCAGTGCTTCTCACACTTAAACGTGCCTTTGAATCACGGGGGAATCTTGTTCCGATTCTGTCCATCTGGGGGGCGGGGCTGAGATTCTGCATTTCTAACAAGCTTCCAGGTGATGGTTCATGAATCATACTTCATGTATTAACTTATCCTCTTAAAACGTATCCTATGACGTAGGTATCGCTATTATTCCTGTTTTATTAAAACGTATTTTACACACAAGGAAACTGAGAGGTTAAGTATCTATGACCTTAGGTCAAAATAAATAAACTGCAGGGCAATGAGGGAGGGGAGAATGGTGTGAGTACTTACAGCTGTAGAAGGAGGAACAAAATTCTAGGCAGAGTAAACACTATTTACAAAAGGGATGCAGGGGAGGTGGCCCCGGACTACCCAGAGGTCTGTTTCACCCATTAGGGCACCATGTGCTTAGTGCTTATAAGCTTTACAAAGGCACCAAATATTTGAGGCCTGAAAAAAAATGCATTGGCACCTACATATGAAAACTGAATATTTAAATTAATCATTTCAACGTTCAAATTATTAAAAGTCCTTTCAAATTTTTATACATGAAAAAATTCATGTTTAGTGAATGATATGGGTGTATTTTAGTACATTTTATAAAAAATGGGGTAGGGCCTGCCTACTAGGCCTAGGGTCTACTAAGGATAGGAGAGGCCCTGGCCACATTGGGTACGGCTGAGGGCAACTGGGAACCACTCCTGGGAGCAGGAAAATGTTCTCTGTGGCTACAGTGAGGAGAATGGCTTGGAGGGGGGCCAGGCTGGAGGCCCAGCAGCTCGAGACCAGATAGCCGTTTACAGCCTCCAGACTGCAGGACAGCTTCTGCTGAGTGCCAAGAGGACAAAACGATAGCATTATACAGCCCAGTTATTTTTTGATTCCTCCAGCCCCAATCTGACTCAGCATTCTAAATTTACTTAAGATTTGGGGACACAGGTTTTGCCAAATCCTTTCTCATTAAGGCCAGTGATGCTACAGTCCAGGGGAGGCGTTTAAGAGCACATGCCTTGAGTGGACAGCCATGAATGTGAAGCTCAGCTCTGCTCCTAGCTGTGTGACTTTGCATAAATGATTTAACTCCTCTGAGCCTTGGATTCCTTTTCGGGCATATTACATTCCTCGCAGAATTAAGTGAGATAAACTACGTTTACAGCGTCTCCTGCAGAGTAGGTAGTGCTTAGAAGTAGTGGCTTTTATCCTACGGGTGCCATTTTTCTGAGACCTAGTCGAGTTTTCTTTAGGAGGGAACAGAGGGTGTGGTAAGTAATCTTTTCATCAGTCTTCTGAGGTAGAAATTCTTATCCCCATTTTGCAGATGAGGAAACTGGGGCTCAGAGGTGAGATACCTCAGCTCAGTGGACTAGGGGCAGACAGTGGGGAAGCTGGCATCTTGTCTGGTTTTCCCTGTGTTTGTGCGCTCTCTCCAGCAGTCGGTATCTGCTGCTCCGCCACTCCTGCGCCCCATACCCCTTCCCCTTAGTCATGGCGTGACTCGGGCCTGATGGCCAGCGGCCGCTGCTGAGCACTCTCCTCCAGTGGCACCCACCTCTATCCCCCTTCTTCCCAGCCTTGCCCGACCTCCCTACCACCTTGCCCCCCCCCCCCCCGCGATTTTACAGCTTCTGGATTTCCCTTATTAAAGAGCTCGTCTCTGAAACTCAGAACTGCCCTGGCCTGGGATGCCTTCCAGGGTCCCTCCCTTTAAAGGGTGTAGATAAGTAGGTCACATCAGGGTGGTGGGGGAGGACGCTGACTTCTTATGGGAGGAGGAAAAAATACTGCAGGTCCCATGGAGAATGGAAAACAAAATAACAGCGCTCCCCTCTGTCCCTGTCTCTCTGTCCCTCAGCCTCTCTGCGCCGCCCCCCCCCCCGTCTTTTTTTAACATCTTTATTGGAGTATAATTGCTTTACAATGGTGTGTTAGTTTCTGCTGTATAACAAAGTGAATCAGTTATACATATACATATGTTCCCATATCTCTTCCCTCTTGCGTCTCCCTCCTTCCCACCCTCCCTATCCCACCCCTCTAGGTGGTCACAGAGCACCCAGCTGATCTCCCTGTGCTATGCGGCTGCTTCCCACTAGCTATCTACCTTACGTTTGGTAGTGTATATATGTCCACGCCACTCTCTCACTTTTTTACAGCTTACCCTCCCCCCTCCCCATATCCTCAAGATCATTCTCTAGTAGGTCTGTGTTTTTACAACCCCCCCCAACCCCCCCCCAAACCCCCCCCTCCCCCCGTCTTGCACAGTGACAGTCCCCTGCGGGCTGCTGTTACTGGGAAATGCATGTTGGGACAGTACAGGCGATCCTGAACTCTTGGGGTCTGGGGACACCAGTGGACGCTGCACTGAACAGAAGCTTGTCTACCCCTTGCTCTCCTCCTTCCCCCCGCCTCCTCTTCCAGCTCCCCGCACACCCGCTAGGCTGCTGGAGACAAGAAATCTCAGCTTTCACCCAGAGCCTGCAGCTTCTGCTCCTTGAGCGCGGCAGCCTGGAAGCCGCCTGGGGCCGGGAAGGGCCTGACTGTCTGTCCGGCTCACAGAGGCTGCTATGGCAACCAGAGCAATGACGGGTTTGGCAAGATCTCCTGTTTCCCCACCCCCACCCCTCCCCCTCCCGAAGGCCGCTCACAGCAGGGGGTGTGGATGAGCATTAAATCACGTAGGTTGCTGGGAAAACCAGGAAGGCAGAGGCAGAGACAGGGCGTGGCACTAAAGGTCCAGCACTGCCAGCCCCGCCCTGCCCTGCTATCCATAGGGACTGAGCGCTGTTTGAATCATAACACTGGGCGGCCACATTTCTAGGAAACTGCAGCTGAAGGGGAAAGGTCCCGGCTGCGTGAAGGAGAGCAGCCTGGCTGCGTACAGATTAGGACTGAAAACGTGTTCCCCTGGCACGAGGCAAGCACACAAAACAAAGAGCGAAGCCTGAGCCTCGCACCCGGGGGTGAACTGCCCCGGTTCCTTGGCGGGGGCGGTGGAAGCAGGGAGGTCACCTCGGAGAGGCCCAGGGGTTTCCCATTTTCCTGGCTGGGGCCTGGCGAGCTCCCAGCTCAGAGGCTGGCCGTCCAGGACACGGCAGCCCTTTTGTAGTGACGCGCCGGATTGCATGACCCCACCTGGCTGGTGTTTGAGAACTGCCCCCGCCCTCCCTCCTCCTGTCCCCAAGGCCCTGTGCCTTTTTTTCTCCACCCCAAGAGAAAGTGAGCACCCCCGACCCGGGCGGTCGTGCGGGGTGCCCTGTGGGAAAGTCCCACTCTTGCCCGGAGTTGCCCTCCTCGCGTAGATGCAGGGCTGGGTGATGGGAGAGAGACATCCATCTTCACCGGTGCCCTTCATCATGCTTAATCTCCCTAGTGGGGTGGGCCTGTCTAAAACACCTGTTTCCCAGGCTGCAGTAACCCCAAACCATCTCTCATCAGAGTGGGTGTAAATCCCCACAGGTATGTGGCAGGCAGGTAGCAGCAGTGACAGTGTGGGGTGCCTGCATCAAAACGAGAAGTTTGGACTTAGGAGGCTCAGAGCCTTTGTGCTCTCAGAAAGTGACTGGCAACCCCACCTCCCTGGCATCTACTCCAGCCCGGGCCCTTGCTTTGCCAGCCTCCCTGCCTGACCCTGGGTGGGCTGCCTTCCTCTAGGTCTGGTGCCAGTGCTATGCCTTGGCTTATCGATCTAGCATTACCTGGGAGAGACGGGGCCAGTCTTGGAGCCTCCATACTGCCCGCTGTCCCAGCATCAATCAGCCGTGTCTCAGCAGTGGTTCTGAAACTTCATGTGCATCAGAATCACCAAGGGACATGTTAAGATACGGACTGCTGGGCCCGGTGCCCAGGGTTTCTGATCCTGCAGATCTGGAGTGGGGAGTGAGAATTTGCATTTCTAACAAGCTCCCAAGGGACGGGAAGCAGCTGCACCAGGACCACATCTGAAAACCACTGAGCCAGAGCAGAGCAAAAAGAAAACCTAGATTTGAGTCCTGCCCTGTCACTCACCTGCCCTGATGCGGCGCGTGGCTTCCCTGAGTTTCAGTTTCTCCTCCATTAAAGGCAGAGTCGTGGCCACGGGGTGGGTGGGAGGATTATTTGCTTCTAGTATTCGAAAGACCCTTTCACTGTGCCTGGCAAATTGCCTGGCAAACTCCTCAGTAAATACTGTATCTGTTGACTCACCCACATACGTGGGTTTATCAACAGATACAGTATTTACTGAGGAGTTTGCCGTCTAGATACGCGGCCCAGTGTGGTGGCTGATTTGGACAGGTCACTTGTGAGGATTCTAAAGGCCCAATTAAACATCACACATCTCTGGACCTCAGTTTTCTTCCGAAGGCCTTAGGTCTGCTAGGTCTGCCCCTCCAGGTCCCATTTCTAAGCCCAGCTCTGGGAGGGGGTTAGGTGTTGGGAGACACAGCCACTGTTTTCATTCCTTTCCCACCTCTTTCCAGGACCTCCATCTGAGAGCCCAGGTGATTCTGCAAAGCACAGAACATCCATCACCAGAGTCATTGGTCACTTCATCCCAGAGGAGGGTGACACGGCCTTCAGGGTCCATCATGATCTGGTTCCAACCTACCTTTATAATCACATTTCTCGCTGTCTCTCCTCCATTTACCATGTAGTCTAGACGAACTGGGTTGCTCATCCTTCCCCAAATATGCCCCATGATTTTCTGCCTTTGTTCACAGTGTCCTCACGACTAGAATGTCCTCTGCTGCTCAGGGTCCTGTTCGTGCTTCCGAGTTCACCCAGTGACCACCTCCTCCAAGGAGGCACCCCAGATCTTTCTGTCATCAGTCTCTCTGTCTAGCTATCACCTCTGTATCTCTCTATTTAATACAAGTGA